GGGTTCTTTGGGGGCTCCTTTAAAGGGATCTATAAGGGCTACTATAAGGGTTTAGGGTTCTGGGGGCTCCTTTAAAGGGATCTTTAAGGGCTACTAGAAGGGTTTAGGGTTTAGGGGGCTCCTTACCTATAAGGGGTTTAGGGTTTAGGGGCCTAAGATAGTTAGAATAGGGTTTGGGGTAGTTGACTATAATTATGATAAGGAGCCCCTAAAACCCTATATTCTAATTATTAAGGCCCCCTACAGTGTAGAGTTTATAGGGTTTGGTTTCTGGAAGGCACCTTGCCCCTAAACCCGAAACCCTGCATCCTAAACCCTGAATCCTGAACCCTAAACGCAAAGCCCTAAACCCAAGTACTCAGCCTTGCAGAGCAGTCGGGTTACTGCAGTCAGCTGGTTCTCAAAAGCGCGGCAACAAGTCTGAACAGCGAGACATGGTGGGAAAATCGTGTCCCTTAAGGCAATCGGAGTAAAATCCCACCGATGAAAGGAAAGCCCCGGCAACACAGAGTGTCAGCTGGAGAGACTCCGGCACAACTTCCGCATTCTTCGCATGGACCACACACTTTCCAGCAAACTCCCAACTATCCCATGAGGGATCCTGCCGCAGCCTTGCCCACATCCCCTGGATGCTTTGCCCAGGGCTCTGTTGCAACTCTCCTTCCGCAGCCTTCTACTGCACGGCTTGTGGTTCCATAAAACTCCGTGAAGTTTCATGAGGTCTCAGCCACAAGAGGGCTCGGCATGTGAACTAAGCTATCGGATGACCATATCAACCATAGCCAATGAAACGAACGATCGTAAGAAGAAGCATCATTTTCTTAACTAGTTATACAAATTCATGACCCGGGCTGCGGAGCTTCCTCAGTTCTGCATGCAGCTCGCCGATGGAATCGCGGAGGAGCCGGATCATCTTCAGGATCTGGAGCGACGACACAGGCACCTCACGGAGGAAGATGTTCAGCAAACCTTCCTCAAACTCCATGCGAGAAACCCGCCCAGAGCTGTCTACGTCCAAAATCTTGAAAAGCTCCTCCATGCTGTCCACCGCAGCTCGGTCTAAGATCCGCCGGTTGATGCCACTGCCCCCGCCTTTGCCTGGCTTATCAAAGCGGGCCATTTCCTGGATGTCGATCTCGCCATTCCCATCTGCGTCTAGTGTGTCGAAGATTCTCACGATCTCCGGCATCATCTGCTTCGTGGTGATACTTTCCATCTTGCGCTCCTCTTCGCGATCTTGTCGGGCACTCTCAAGTGCACCTTCCACGAGAACAGCCGTGATCAAGTTCATGAGCGCGATGGACACGATGGCCCCGAGAGGCAAGAAGTAGAGCAGCAGCAGAGGCTCCTGCAAGATCAGTGGCTTGTAGACAGAAGCAATGGAGTCCATCGTAACGAACTGTGTCAACATCATCATCGTCATGCCCAACGAGGAAAAGTGGTTTGTAATGATCGGGCCAGTCGCAGGGTTGTCCTGGAGTTCTGTGTTGCTTGCGATGACCTCAGCACCAAGCACGCCGAAGACGTAGATGACGAGTGAAAGCAGGGCAAAGGTGGAGAAGATGGTTTCGCCACAGGTGATCAGTCCGTAGACGAGCCGAAAAATCGATCGAATCTGCTTGATCATGCGCACGCTGCGAGCTAGCCGCATTAAGCGCAGGAGCCGAAGGACCATGATTTGTTCGGCCGACTCCCCGGTCCATGCAAGTGCCAGCTGCCCTGCACAAGCCCCGAGCACCAAGAAGAAGTCAAAAAGGAACCACCAATCTCGTAAGCAAGCCCACCTTACTTGCGGATCTAGCTTCGCCTTCACGGTTATAAACCTATGCGTATTCTACCCAAAATTACGACAAACAGCTCAAAGCTCGCTCACTCCACACAGGGCACTGCTGGGCAATGGAACGGACGAGGATCTCCACAGCATAGATGAAGAGAAACGCCATCTCGGCACCATGCGCCCAGGTCTGGTCTTGGCCGTTCAAAGACATCTCCTGGGCTCTTGTTGGGTATCTTGGTTGAAGATGCCACAATAAGATGTGAGCAGGAAAGCATGCATCTTGGTTAAAGATATCGTAATTAGGAAAGCAGATCATGTACGACAGTTGTATGACTGTAGAGGTCCCTACATGAAAGCATCAATCAAGCTCTTCCACAAATCCCAGTCTCTGTTTCCAAGCCGATCAGTACTGAGTTCACCACAATCACCATGGAGACGAAGCACTCGAACCAAACTGCATCGACGAGACGCTGGCAATGGAAGCGGAGATGCGGCCAGAAACCTTCCTCCACCGACGGCGGATCTAGCAGTGATCGGGTGTTCTGCTCCTTGATCCTCGCCAGAAGGCGGGAGACCTCCGGGTTCTTGATGCTGCTGTCTCGGCGGGCTTCCAGATTCTCCGTCGCTTCCGTCACCATGGCCATGCTTGCAAAGGTCTGTCGGGGCCGGGCCTCACCATCCTCACTGGGAGTGCCAGCCATCTCCCCTTTCGTCTCCTCGTCAAGACGGGCCTCAAAGCCTTGCAAGGCCACAGACTGCAACCAGGTGTCCTCCAGATCCGACAGCGATTTGAGGATACCAACCTGTTGCTGGCGAATCGACTGAATGGCCTCACGGTGCTTGCACAAGACAGCGCAAAGTCCCTCCGGCAGCGACTCCCGGCCTTCAGGGTGGCTGGAATGGATACCGAAACCCCATTCCGTGTCCTGGGTTGATAGGTCTGCAGCGCAGCCCTCGGAACAAGTGCACATGGGCTTTTGCGTGGGCTAAGGTGGAATGGCACCGCTTGCAAGCCCAAAGCTACGTCACGCATGTGGAGCGGCAGGGTTCCATATGCCGGGTTTACTGAAACGAACGAGCTACAGCCATAACTAGGCTTCTAAAGACCTCGAGCGGATTAGCAGTAAAACCTGAAGTTACCTAACTTCTAACATGTTAGAATTACACCCTACGTATATCTGCCCTGCGGTGGAGAAGTGCTACAGATGCTTCTTATTCAGAAGCCAAGGACGGCAAATGCAGCTGTGTACATTGAAGAAACTGGCACAAGGAGACGCGCGACCTGTGGAAAGACCGCACAGGCGGATCACAACGCCATTCCAATCATGACAAAGAACAGTAGACTGATTAAGAACCCAATGGGGTTATCTACCATTGTCATTACCATAGGAAGGAGTTCCTAAGGAGATCCCAGTCCATCTAAAGCTGGCAGAAAGCATGATGTAGGGCCTCTGATTATTAGAATAGGGTTTGGGGGGGGGTGCCTTGTTATTATACTGATAGTATAATAAACCCCAAAGCCATTCTAATTAAGGCCCCTATATTCAATGGCTGTTCGCGCCTGGAAGACCATGCGTCCGATACGGCCGAATCCGTTGATGCCCACCCTGAGGAAAACGAAAGACACCCGGGCTGTGTAAAACGCCCTCCTCCTAAATCGTGGAATGATCCCTTAAAGAAAGCTCTACCCTTAACTTCCACAAACTGAGAAACATATCAGTAGACTTCGACTTGCAGCCATCATCTCTTCACCAAAAGCTGAAAGGAGTCGTGCTTCGCCATCCGCAACTTGATGTCTTTCAGTTACAAGTATGGATTCTAAGGGCTGAGGACCTGCAGGTAGGCTAGCATGACCAAGGGTTCTAAAGCTTCGGGTGCAAGACCAAGTAGTACACCCGCCCAAGTGGATCACCTTGGAAGGGCCTTGCCATCAGCCAGAATCCCATTCAAGTGGCTTTGTCGCCATGATGTTGCAAAGTCTGTCGGCAAGGAATGGCAAGGAAGGACGGTCGATGGTTGCAGCTGCAGCTTGAGCAAACACGTCGCTGCGGGCAATGCAACAGAGTAGCGCAAGATCTGGATCACAGCACGCTGAAGACTAATCCATGCTCAACTATCGTGATTCTACTGAGGATGAACTTATCAACGGGCAGAACAATCATCAAGCGAATGGAGAGGAACAAAAAAGCAAAGAGTAGGTCTGAGTGGTGCTCGTGGCAGCGACGGGATCAGCGCTGGCAGTGGTGCTAGTATCAAACCCGAGGAAGACTAAACGAAGAACCAACAGTAGAAGTTCGCACTACTTGCAGCAAGGGTTTTAGACTATTCTTCCGTCGTCAGTCGCCGCCTCAATTTCCGTCATGACATGCATTACCTGGTGCTCTGCTCCCTCAGGCTCCCTCAGACCATTCTGCACCTTGAGCTACGCAGCTACTTTGTATGCGGTGTGTAACCCGAAGCAAGGCTTGGACACCACACGAGCCTGCCATGCACACAAAGAAAACGGAAGCTTCAGGATCAGTTGGGGCAGCTGGCAACTCTATGCAAGAAGACAGTGCTAAGGGATGCGGTCATCCTGCTATTCAGTTCGGATCCCCAATTCGAACCCCTGATCTCCTCATTGAGGTTTGGAAGATAGGGTCGGTTTGTGGTTCCATATCAAGCCGAAGGGCAGTCAGGGAGTAGAAGTAGTCCAGGCCGGAAGCAATGTAGCCTGTGTGCCACAGGCCACTGACACAATCTGACAGACTTTCTTCAGGGTTACGGCTGATATTCATATAGCAGCCTAAGAAATTCGACTATGGCTTTGGCAGAGATAGATGGACAGTCATTCAGTCGGTCAGTTGATTAGTTTGTTATCTAGTTAGATAGGTGCATAAAGATACATGAAAAAGACAGTTTGATAGCACGGTGTATAGACACACAGACCGACCGATAGATGGATAGATAGGTAGTTAGATAGATACATAGATCAATATCTGCTTATGTATCTATCGGTACCTGCGTATAGACAAACGTCTGTATCTGTATATGTGTATGAACCTACCGATAGGCATATATATATATACATATATATATATGTATGTACATATTATACCTTTATATATATATATATCCAATCACACCTACATACCTACATATATATATATACACATGTGTGTGTACATGCATGTATGTACTCAAAATGTATGCACACAGTGCATGTACTCACATAAAGACATACATACATGCATACATACGTGCGTGCATGTATGTGTGCATACATAAAGAAGGATAGTATCGTGCAGCATGAGACTCTATGGCCTAAAGCACGACAGGCCCCTAGATTTCTTGCGGTGCTATTGCTGTGGGTTGGCGTAAGAAAGTTGGTGGGGCCAGCTTGACCGTGTCAGAGGTCACCAAACATAGGCCATGAATGAATGACCGACACAAGGTTCGCATGTCCATGCAATCGCGAACCTATCCATGTTGCATGTGCGCTGTCACGCACCGTGGTTCGTGAAAGTCCATGAGCAGCATCGACGGCCGTGCGGTGCCCATGGGTCTGCAGCTTCCGTGCCTTCTTCCTGCAAACGAGTCTTCCACAGCAGCTGCGGCACATACATGACCTCAGCCAGGCTATCAGGAACGTCACCTCCGGTGGCTCAACACGGGGATCCTATCTGTTGCGCAGAAGGGGGGGCTTCTGGAAAACCCGTCTTCAGGGAATCCTTGTTTTATGCTGACATCCCAGAAAACACCAAAGTCTATACTATTTGGTACATGGACCCTTAAACCCCAAACCCTATAGTATCCTATAGAAACCCTTATAGGAATCCTTACAGGTACCCTTAAAGGTGCCCATAGCCCGGCTCGACTGCCGACCTGACTGTCCACTCAGCGTGGGGCCGCATACAGGGCTCCTGCAAGAAGGGCCAGAGCGAGGCCACCCATCCTTGGAAGCAAATGCCCAATACACGCAGGGACGTTGATGCCCAATCTTTTCTGGCGATGTATGCATGGTGAATCATAGTGTACGTGTATATATATATATATATATTATCTATATATATATATATGTATTTATTTATGTACTTATTTGTTTATTTGAACTGATTTATCTATGTATACATACATATATGTATGTATGACGAACGGGGTCGGTTTCTCATCATTCTGAAAAGAAATCCATCGTAATGGGAGTGTAGTTGGCGTTGCCACGCCTGCTGGGCTCTTTGGATCTTCCTTCAACGGCACCCTTGGCGTCTCCGAGTACAAGCGCCGGTTCAACGAGAGGCATACAGTGAGGGAGGGAGAGAGCGAGAGAGAATCATGGAAAAGTAAGGGATGGAGCGGGGGATGTTCGAGGGAGAGGCATCGAGGGGAAGAAGGAGGATCGAGATCAAACCTGCAACTCGGTCTGAGCTGGCCCCCAAGGATGCAGCCACTGGTAGAAGCCGCTGTTGTCCTCAGTAGGCAGTCCGCATGTTTTAAAGAAACAAGACTAGGACCACTAGGAAGTCCGATGAATGCTCATCAAACTGAAAATCTGCAACATTGGCTGGGGGATGCCTGGAAACCACACTGTTTAGGGTATACTAGCTCCCTAAACCCTAAACCCTAAACCCTAAACCCCTAGGACCAGGGTTTGCACTCTTTCGAACCCGGTAACTGAGCTGCGGCTGTGGCACTGTGAGGCGCCTCTCGAGCAAAGGCTCCGAAGCCTCTTTGCTTGGAGGTTTTCACCCAGAGACTCCAATATTCAGGAATATTCCTTAAATTATAGTAGGATCCTTAATATGATTTTAAGGTATATTCCTTAATTAAGGGATATTGGAGTCTCTGGGTACTCAAAATCGAGGACGACAGTCCGGTGCAAGCAGAATAGTTCGTCGAACAGAGGCGGGGGTAGCTTGCAGGGAAGCTTAAGCCGCCTGACTCTTGGCAATTGCATGCAATTGCTTTTCCCTGAGCCCGGGACCGGGGAAATCTCAAACTCGTTCGCGGACACCTTGCGCAAATTTCCGGATGGTGCTTGAGTTCAATAGGTAATCGCAATAGTCAGTAATACCGTCACGACATGATGAAAACCAGGCTTCTATGTACTTGTGAAATCGAGCCAAATACTGAGCAAGCTTCTGTCCATCCATGTTATAATTAGTTAAACCTCACCATCGATACTGACATACATCAAGGTCTCGCTCCCCAGAAGCCTACTTGGAGGATAATGGGACTTAGTAAGTAAGGTTATAAGTCCCTTAATTGGGGTTATAAGTACAATTACCCCATTTACAACCCTACTTACTAAGTCCCATGATCCTTTAAGTCACAAAGAACGGAACGGGACAACCCGGTCGCGCACCTCCTTGGCGACCATGCCTTGGCTTCCGGGTGGTGGCGTAGCTACTGCAGTATGCCTACATGTGCATGTATACATAAAAAATATTGACGGACCGTTTTAGGGCTAAATATTGATGGACCGCTTTAGGGCTTAACATGTTAGGAATCAGACGTGGAATCAGGTTTATATCACTAGGTATTTCGAGTGCAGCGAGAAATGAGAAAGAATTTCGTGCTAGGTTCAGGGAGCTGAGTAGAGCTTGGAAGTCCTGCGCACATTGCGGTCCGGGAAGATGCTGCGGCATCAGCGGCTTGCTAAAGCAATTCAGGACGATTTAAGGCTTTAGCAGTATCTTTGTTTTTGAGCGGTTCTGTTCTGCCTCAGCAGGACACACTTAGAACTAACAGCTTTGCAGAACCAGCTGAAAACGGACGATGGGCCTTCCAAAGCTGGACCCTGCTATCACACTCCGAAATCCCGTCCGTACCAGCTTCCAGTTAGGGCTTAGAGTTTAGAGCTTGGGGCTTTCAAGATTTCTAGGGTTTCGGAGACCCCAGGAATACATTTTACAAGGATTGCTTCGACGGCCTGCAGTCTGGAAAGGTTCTCGAGATATCATCATCCCAGGTAGGCTAACCATGCCAGCGAGTGGCTCATGTCGCCCAGGCAGCTCCTGACCGCAAGCGGCACGGTTTAAGGTTTAGGGGTGTCGGCGCTCACACTCGGACAATCCAGGCGAGGCATATGGCTTAGGGGTTTAGGGGTTATAGGGCTTGGGGACATAACATAGTAACCGGCCCTGACGGTGTAAAGATCTACACTCATGCAGGATGCGGGGGTGTTGCGACAACTCGATGACCGGCCCGTTGATTACTACTACTCTACGACCGGTGCAGCCGTTGAGGCTCATGATCTTCAACTCCAGCCGAAGAACACATGGAACATGGCACCACTCGCTTGCTGTAGCATCTCCCATGTCAGCAAAATTGTCCTAGTACGCCCAATGACAAATTCACGGCTCCATGGATTGGCCAGTAGCTTAACAGCGGGAAGCCATTCAGAGAAAGGGGCAGGGGCGGGCTCAGCGGCTCATCGCCGAATTGGGGCCGCCCAAGTGTACCTCGGAACATGAGTTGCAGATCTCGCAACATGATACTCTGCCTTTTGACCCATCACACACTTTATGACCACCCGGACCCAAATCTCAAACCCTAATCCCTGAACCCTGAACCAGCCGGTGCTTTCTTCACCACGGATTGCAGCATGCTTACCCTGCTGTGGGGGTAGGGCACGCAGGATAGCGTTTTGCAACGAGGGATGTTAAACACATTCTCAGTAAGGAACTAACCCCATCCAGAATTTTTCTTCTTGCCGGCTTACCCTGTCCCTGAACTCCGCTGTTGAGCACACCCCAATCCTTTGCCGGCCGCTTCTAACACAGCTGGGTGTGGCACCGTCCCAAGTCAGAGAATTCATCTGCCTGCTAAGGCTGCAGGGGTCTGCAGCCATGGGGGTCAGGGGCATCCCACCCTGAAAGCTCGCTGCCAAGACTCCTGGTCATCATCTAGACATGACCGTTTGCGAAAATCATGGGCTCCCACTACTGGTAATATATACCCTAAACCCTAAACCCTAAACCCCGCGTTTAGGGTTCAGGGTTTAGGGTTTAGGGCGGTAATATAGATCCTAATGGTCCTAAGCTGTAGGACCCTAGGAGTTGCCACAATCACCCCTATAGCAAGTTACCGATAGTTTGTTTTTGAAACTCCCACTTCGCTAACGCGCGGGAGCACCAAATCATCTCGGGTGGAGATTTGACATGCTTTCCTGAAGCGTATGCGATCTATAACGTTCCGGGGCCCGTTTTATGCCACGCAGCCCAAAAACCAATGCCCTCAACCCTGAATCATAACCCTAAACTGCAAACTCCAACTGTCAAGATGCTGAGGTGCACTTTTTCACGTAGAGGCGAGCTCCCATTGACGCAATGGCATAGCATTGCAATCATCTGCCAGGGCGGCAATGGAAGGTGGCTATGAGCCAACCCCTTG